CACCCCAGGCCTCCACTGCCACCCCCGGCTCCACTCCTCACACCGTCACTGCTTTCTCTCTGGTCTTTTCCTTCCTCCTGCACCCTCACTGTCTCGGGGTCTCCACCCCCCCACCCCCACTGCTCCCCTGGCCTTGCCCTGTGCCTGGTGGTGCTCACTCGCCTGCTGCCTGCTCTCCGGGTGCCCACCATCCTCTCTCCCTCCAGTTCTGTCTCCATTTCTCCCCTTAAGACACATTATACTTTATTCACACACACACTGTCCAGCTCTCAGCCCTCCTGCTCCCTGGAGGAAGTCACCTAGTTGAGGAAACGCCTGCGGACGTCTGCTCTGGCGTCTGTGCTGTGTGTGAATGCAACCAGTACCGCCTTCTGTGCGGACAGCCCCCGCCGGGTGGGAGTGCACTTGGCCCCTGTGGTTTCACCTGTGGCGACGGCCCTGCAGGGCCTCTTGGGCGGTGTGACTGAGCGGCGACCGGATGGGGCAGGTGGGGTCACAGTGGCAGGAAATGCTGACGAAGAGAAGTGGGTGTCTGCTGAGTTCTAGGCAGGCTCGTGTCGGAGTGGTCGTTAGAAGGCTGGGGTGGGGGGGAGTTCAGCAGAGAGAGGAGGAAAGGGGTGTCCTCTCTGCAGGAGGGGGTGCAGGCCGACTGCCTGACCTGGTAGGGTGTTGCCATTGAGGGCAGGGGTCCTGATCGCCATCAGCAGGACCCTGTGGGTTAGACCCGGCTCCACGGGCAGCGTGATGACACTGCCCGGGTCCAAGCCCGCATTGCCCTCTATTCCCCCTCCACCCGACTCGGCAGTCACCACAGGTGACATGGGCTGGAAGGCTGGGAACCATGTCAGGCTCCTGGGAGCCTGGCCCAGAGCGAGCACTCCCCACAGGGAGGGACTGCTGGGGTGAGTGGTGGGAGCCTTGGAGAGGACCCGGGGCCCGGGGAGAGAGGACGGAGGTGCTGTGAAGGTCTGGGCGGCGAGGACGGCCGGGCTGGGGCGCAGAGGGTGATGCCGGCAGGAGGAGGTGCTCCGCGCGTTGGAGGAGGGGTGTTGCACGTGCACAGCAGGTGGTTTCTTCTCTGTGTGCCCCGTCCTGCAATGTCTGCAGTATCAGCGCATGTCCGGCTCTGCTGGGGGTGCTTCCCTGGCCAGTCCCCCTGTTAGGGCCGCAGCGAACACTCTCGCACTAAAGGCTCTGGCTGTGCCACCCTCCCCCGAGGAGATGAGGGTGCCGCCTGAGTCCCCGCACCAGCCCTCTGTCCCGGGCCTGAGGCACCTGTTCCCTCCCCAGGCCCCCGAGCCCCTGAGCTCCCTGAAGTCCATGGCAGAAAGGGCAGCTCTCAGCTCCGCCATCGAGGACCCCGTGCCAACGCTGCACCTGACTGAGCGAGGTGAGGGTCCTGGAGCTGTGGGGGCAGCCCAGCGAGGAAGGGCGCCCACCCAGCCTCACCCACGGGCCTGGCCCTGCCCTCCCCACAGACATCATCCTGAGCAGCACGGCAGCTCCCCCGGCCTCGGCCCAGCCGCCTCTGCAGCTCTCCGAGGTGAACATCCCGCTGTCCCTGGGGGTGTGCCCCCTGGGCCCCGTGCCCCTCACCAAGGAGCAGCTCTACCAGCAGGCCATGGAAGAGGCCGCCTGGCACCACATGCCCCACCCCTCGGACTCTGAGCGGATCAGGTGAGGGGCTGCGGGGAGGGGACCCAAGTCTAGGGAGGAGGCTGGGGTGGGGAACTGGTCCCCAGCCCTGAGACCAGTAAAGCTTGCTGGGCACCTGACGTGGGCTCCACGGTAGGTGGGGACGAGGAGTTCAGGCTGGGCGGTCAGGTGACAGACGCTCCCATTGATCCCCGGGCGGTGGGGCGGGTGAGAGCGGGGTGGGGGCCTTCTGCCACCCCGATACAGCAGGGGTGGCAGGCACTGGCACTAACACACCCGTCCCCCACAGACAGTACCTCCCCCGGAACCCCTGCCCTCGCCGCCGCCGCCGCTGTCCCCCCTCGGGCTGGAGGGGTGAGGTGGGTGCCCCACTGCGGCCACCGGGACCGCACCCCTCCCCATTCCCCCAGTCCCGGGCCCCCCCAAACCAAACCCGTCCTGGTCCCCACTTCAGCACAGGGGGGTCAGAATGGCTGAGGCGGAGGGCTAGGTTGCCCACCCCTGTGCCCGTCCCCTTTAGCTGTCCCCGCGGGCAGCCTCTCTCTGACCCCCGGGCGTCACGCGTAGCCTCCGCCCTCATCCCGCCTGGGAAGCCTAGGCCGCCTCCTCCGGGCACTCCTCATGCATTAGTCTCTCTTCCTTCTCCAAGCTTCTCTGGAAGCACTCCCACCTCCTGTCTCCTTTTCCTTCTGGCCAGCACTGGTATGTTCTGTGCCCCGCCTGGCTCCTGCTGGAGGGTCCAGCCCATCTTGGTCTGTGGCGGGGCCCGGGGTCAGCCCAGATGCCCTGCCCATTCCCTTGCCCCTCCCATCTGGGGGGTCCCCTGACCCCCCGCTGCACCCTTCCTCCCCCAGGGCACTAAGGCGCAGTACCTGGCAGCCAAGGCCCTGAAGAAGCAGTCGTGGCGGTTCCACACCAAGTACATGATGTGGTTCCAGAGGCACGAGGAGCCCAAGACCATCACGGACGAGTTCGAGCAGGTGTGGCCCCTCCCCTCCCCACCCTGCGGCCAGTTCAGCTCCGTCCGTCATTCACACTAAGCAACTCCTAGTCACCCCTGGCCTAAACGCCCCTTCCTCAGGGAACCTCCCCCAGCCACACAGCCTGGCCCTGGCCGCCCGCCACGGCCACGCTGCCCAGGGCCTGGCCGCCGCCTCCCTGTGTGTGCCTAGCACTCACTCAGCAAGTGCGAATGGGAAGCTGGTACTGTCTGAATGGCCTTCTCCAGTTCCAATGATGGACTCCTTACAGAACGCTCAGGGGACTCAACCTGGGCGTGACCCACCTCCTGCCGGGGCCCTGGCAAGGCACTGAAACCTGTGCCATTTCCATTTTCTGTAAAAACGGGGTGACGGGCCCCCCTTACGCAGTGGTGAGGATTGAACGAGTTAGTCACGTGTGTACGTGACGGGTGCCTGCCACGGAGGGTCCTGGGCGCGCTGCACTTGTCCCAGCGTGCTTTCACTTGGTGCCTGATGGTCGTGTCCTCAGAGGACAGCCCGCTCCCCTCGGTTCCTGCAGGTTCTTTGAAGCATTTCAGCCGCTCAGAGCCCGGCCCCATTCCCGCAGGCCTCTGACCTCCAGACCTGTCCCCTCCTGGTTGGGTCCAAAGGACCTGCCAAGTTAGTGTATTTCCAGGCATCGCTCCTCCAGAAAGACCCGCCCACCAGGCACCAGTGCCCGCCAGTGCGCACACAGCCTGTCCATCTAGCTGGGGTGCTGGCCTCGGGGGCGGAGATGCAGTGCTAGGGCGCCACAGCCTCCTGAGAAGCAGGACTTGGCTAAGTGGGGGGCCAAGGCCCTGCTCTTGTGTGTGACCTCTGCTTCCCCTAAAGTGGGCGTGGTCACCTTTCCTGCCCGAGAAGAGAGAAGAGCATGCCATGCCGGAGGGCGCAGGGTCAGGGCCTGGCACCTCCATGGCCCTGAGAACAGTCCCCTTTGTCAGCTCGGCCCCGCCCCCAAGCACCTCCGTCTGCTCACTGACCGCCTTCTCCCTGGCCAGGGCACCTACATCTACTTCGACTACGAGAAGTGGGGCCAGCGCAAGAAGGAAGGCTTCACCTTCGAGTACCGCTACCTGGAGGACCGGGACCTCCAGTGACACCGGCCCGCCCCCACCCCACCCCAGCATGCTGACTCCCTGCCCCGAGGGCTCTGCCCTGGAAGATGGGGAGGCCCCAGGCCATGGGGCAGCCCCCTCCCCCAGGAAGCAAGGAGGGGCCGGGAGGTTTTCTCTTCCTCTCAGCCCCAGCCTGGGGGCCTGGGGGCGAGGGCTGCCCCCTCCTCCCCTCTCGAGTTGAGGGACATTTTTTGGTAAACCTATTTTCATTTTGGAAAATATTTATGAATAAATAGTTTTATATGACGGCTGGCGGCAGCAGCCTCTCCTGTACCCCTCGGGAGTCAGTGAGCCAGAGGGGGGTCCTGCCAGCGGGGGCGCCGGGCCAGCTGGGGGTTGAACTGGGAGTTGTACCGCCTCCGCCGATCGTCTGTCTCTTCTGGCGGCTCCTCCTGTTGTGACCCCCCTCGGACCCGGGCCAGCAGGGCCTCTGCCCGCGCCCTCTCAGCGGCTTCCCGCCGAAGGCGTTCGGCTCGAAGCTGGTCCAGGGACGGGGATCTGGGGGAAGGAGAATCGGGTTAGGAAGCTGGGCGGCCCCACTTCCCTCAAGAGGGAGCAGCCACCACCCCCCACACCCCGCCTGCATCTGACATGCTCCTGGCCTTGGCTCCTGGAGACTCTGGGACCAGGAAACGGACCTCCTGCCAGGGGCCAGGACCTGTGCCGCCCTGTGGGCCTCTGTCCTTCCCAGTCCCAACAGTGAGGCGCCCCTTCAGACCAGGAGAGGCTCCTGCTAATCAGCTGCGTGACCCTGCACACACCCGGGCTCTCAGCCTCATCTCCCCTGCTGTGCTCGGGTCTGCCATCCTGGCGACAGGCCTGCTTCTGCTCTGACCCTGCGCTTCTCAAAGCTCCAGGACCCCATAGAGCTCCCGTGTCCCTGGGTTGTAGAGCCTCTGATAATGTTAACATTAGAAGTGAAAACAAGCGTGGGTCCCACCGGCCATCAGAGCAGTGGACCCTCCCACGTCACTCATGCAGCCCCGGAACCACTACGAAGTGAGAAGCTAAATGGTGTGGCTGTGAGAACAGGCGGGACCTTGCCGAGCCCCCAGGGTCGCTGAGAACCACCGCTGCCCCGCCTCCAGCCTGTCCCAGGGCCCCTGGCGCCCACGGGGCTCCCTCCTCACTCTTTGGGCCGCTGTTTCTCAGGCCCCGCCTCCTTTCTGCTGCGTCCGCCGTGGTCACCGCTGAGCCTTCTCTTCTTCCCCAAATGTTTCTGCATCTCCAGCAGAGGGTCCAGGCGGTTCTTGACCTTCACATCTGGTCCTGGGCCGGGCGGGGGCGCCCCTCGCTCCGGGGGCAGCTGGTACCAAGGGGGCTGGGTCTGGGCTTCGGCCGCGCTCTGGCCCAGGTACGTCAGGATGCCCAGCGCTTTCTCCTGCTTCTCCTGGGGCGACAGGAAGCCGGAAGATGGTCAGGTGTCTCCCCACAGGGAGCCCTGGGTGTGGTAACACGGACACCTGTGGCTGCGGGGGCGGAACCTGTCCTTCAGCCAAGTGTTGAGGGCCTGTCATGAGCCAACTCTGCTCCGTGCTGGAGACACGGGACCAACACAGGTGGGGTCCTGCACCGGGCGCGGTGGCGGCTCTAACGACGCACGGGGAGGGGGAGGCACTTGGAGGACAGAAATCTGAACAAGCCAGCCAGGCAGAGAAGTGGCTGAGGCAGGGGGAGGACAGGATCTGATTCATTTTACAAAGCTCAGATCCCTTCCCGGTCCTGACATCGGGTCTGTGCCTGCAGCCTCAGGCCTGGGGCAGGGAGGGGTGGGGGGAGTGACCAGCTTCCACTCCCAAGCCTCCTCGCCTGGAGGGCTACGACCAGAACTCCCTGCGCCCCCTTCAGTCTGTTCTGGGTCTCCATTAGCTCACTTGGTCCCCACCTGTCCTAGGCACCTGAGGGCAGAGCGCCCCTCCCCGCTGCTCCCTGCCTGACATGAGTGAGTGAGGCCGGCTTACTTTCTCCTGTCGCTTTTCTTCCTCATACTCTTTGTTGCTTCCGGTCACCCCTTTCCCCTCCTCCAGCAGCTCCCGAAACAGGTCCACAGGGCCAGAACTCGGGGCCCCCGCATCTGCTGCTTCGAGCTCCGGTAGCGAGTTCCGATGCCTGGCTTTCTTCCGCAGGAATTCTGTGCGGGCCTGGGGGGAGAAAGTTATGGGCAGAACATTCAGAAGCTAGATGTGATTGGAGGAACCGCGAATGCGGTGCTGCCCCAGAGAACTGTGCTGGGGCCCAGGAGAGGCACCTTCCCGGCCTGGGGAGGAGGGGAAATGAGGCGCCTGGTTTGTAAGATGCCTTTCAACCACATGCCAGAGGGTTTCCCAGTCTGTGACACAACAGATAACCGTGGAGGCAGCCAAACATCAGGACAGGCGATCTGAGTTCCAGGCCGGGCTCCAAGTCACTGCCCAAGTCGAACTTTTAATTTTTTTAACACAGAAAGGGAGAAAGATACCTTGATTTTTTAAATATATTTTTTATTTTAGAGAAGGAGAGAAACATTGACTGGCTGCCTCCTCCAGGTACCACACTGGGGATGGAGCCCGCTTGCCTGGACTCGAACCGGGACCCTTCAGTCTGCAGCCTGACGCTCTATCCACTGAGCAAACCAGCCAGGGCGGGATACATCGATGTGTTCCACTCACCGAAGCATTCACTGGTGGTTACGTGTATGCGCCCTGGTTGGGGATCGCACCCACAACCTTGTATGGGGGACAACGCTGTAACCAACTGAGCTACCTGGCCGGCTCCCAGTCGGTTTCCAATCTCTACTGACACGTGAATCTAAAAAGCCCAGGCTGCCTCCCAGCCAGCGCTGAGGACCACCAGGTGTGCACCGGGCAGGTGAAGGAGCTACACCGGGAGCGCGTCTCCAGTGTGGGGGTGGGGGGTGGACCGGCAGTGCGAAGGCTCCCCACGGAGAGGCCTTGGCTCGCGCCCCTCACTCTGGCGCGGCGTCCTCTGCCCTCTGCTCCGGGGGGCGGGGGGGCTGATGGCAGCGCCCCTCCGACCACCACCCGAGCTGCAGGGATGTCGCGAGTGGAGCGCTCTGCGCGGGACGGGCATCCAGAAGGCGCTCAATAAACACACTACAAACTACAGAGTGACCCGAGCTTCCGGGAACTGCTCCGGGGTTCCTTTATTCACACGCTCCTGCTCTGTGCCCGGCAGCGCTCCGGCCTCGCGAAGAGTCGAGGAAACTAGACCGAGGAAGGTTCCCGGGTTCCCAACGCGCGGGCGTCCAATTCTGCGCGGGACGCACTGCGCCTTCGCGCCGCTTCCACTTCCGGCGCCTACCGCGGCGCCTGCGCGCTGGGCCCAGGGTCCCCCCGGCCGCTTTCGGAGCCCTACCTCTTGCTGAGCGAGCAGCACCCTCCGTTCGCGCTCTTTCTCCTCCTCCCGGGCCTGGGCCTCATCGCGCCGCACGCGGGCGACATTGTCCTTGTTCCGGACGTGCCAGCTCTTCTTGGGCAAGATGTTCATGGCGCCGTGACGTCCACAGACTGGCAGGCCCGCCCCCTAGCACTTCCGATTGGCGAGGGGATGCCCCGCCCTATCATACCTGCCCCCGCCACGGATTGGTTCTGGATTCGCTGACACGCCCCTGCCTCCCAACGCCTCGAATCACGCGTGCTGTCGCCTAGCGACCGCCTCGCGTCAACGCCCTGAGCCAATCACAGTGTTTCCACTTTTGACGCTAAACGGACGCGGCCTCTGACTGGCTGGCACGCCAGGGCCAATACATGTGATTGGCTTGAACCGCGGAAGCCTTGCCCCCCGGTTCCGCTCGCCAGTTTCAAAGAGCGCTCAGCTGACTCTGATGTGTTTATTGATACGAGAATGGGGTTCCCTGGACAATCAGGGGTGCAGGGCCCCGGAAATCTCAGAGTCCCAGGGCCGGAAGGACGGTCCTCTCCATTCTCTCATTTTACAGATGACGTGGCCGAGGCTTACAAAGGTTTGGGGGCAGGTCTGGGTCTGAGCCAGGCCGGGGGGCACCCTATTTTCTTTCCTCTTCTCCAAAACCTTTAATACTGTACCTTTCATGGAACACAAACATTCCTGGTTTTATAATCTCATTATTACTTACTAATCCCTAAAGCGCAAAGTAACATTCTGCAAGATTTTAGAGAGGTGGAGGTGAGGCAGCTGCTCTCCCCCAGGTCCTTGTCTCCGCTCCCCAGGACCCCTGCCCAGGGACCCGGCCTGGCTCACCTTCTCTACCTGCCGTTTGAGCTCGGAGATGAGGCCTCCATAGGAGTTGGCCAGGGCCAGGGTATAGGCCATCAGGATGCTGGAGGCGACAAGAATCAGAGCCACTCCCTGACGGCTCTTGGAATAGCTTCAATGTGTGGGTCCCCCGCCCTTCCTTCAGACCCAGGAGTTTGTGGCTCCACCCCCTCCTCCCTCATTCAGTTTACCCTTCCGCCCCAACCTCCCTCTTCACCGGGACGCAGGCAGCGGGGCGCCCCGATCACACACATTCCAACTGAAAACACCAAGAGTCCGGGCCCCTCACCTGGAGATCAGCAGGAGGGGCACAGCAAAAGCTTGGGTCCCCAGGAAGAAAAGGAAGTCCTGGGCGGTCTGAGGGAGTCTGGAAATCGACTCCGGGATCTGGTCCCAGATGGACCGGTACCCCCGGAATGGACCACACAGCTTAGAGGCCGGGATCCTGCCGTCGGAGACAGGAAGAGTTCGAGGGTGGCCGAGAGTCGGGACCCCGGGGGAGGGCGGCGGGGTCAGCCTCCCACACTCACAGGAAGATGCTGTACAGCACAGGGATGGCCGAGATGGCCAGCCCCAGGAGGAGGACCATGGGGAAGAAGAAGTTCGCCGTGGAGGCCCGGAAGGTGCGGGAGGCCGGGGAGCAGGTGGAGAAGAGGGTGAGCTGACAAGGGAAGAAGGGGGTCTGAGGCACCGGCGACTGAACTCTCTAGTCTGTCTGTTTTTCCCCACCCAGGAGTCCTGGTGCCTGGCCCCTCCTCACTCAGGATCCAGGAGTCGGGTCCCCTCTTCCCTCAGACCTAAAAGTTGGGGTGCCCTAGACCCCCTCCTTCTCCCACATCCGGGAATCAGTCCTGCAGACAGACCCCTCCTCTCTCAGGATCCAGGAGTCTGGGACCTTAGCATCCACCTCCCTTAGGACCCAGTCACATCCCTCCTGCCTTCCGCTCCCCCCGGTCCCCCCACATCTCCAACTCCAGGCGGGTGCCCCCCACCCGCCCCTCACCTTCTTCAGGTAGAAGAGCAGCAGGAACTTGGCCGTGTTGAGCAGGGGCAGTAGCGGGCAGAAAAAACTCCCCACCCAGACCACTGTCTGCGCGTAGATGAGCCCCAGCACCTCGTCGGGCACCTGGAATTCCTGGGTCCCCAGCCGACCCAGCGGCCCGGAACACAGACCACAGAGCAGCCTGAGGGGCGGGACGGAGTCAGGGGCGTGTCAGCCAGGGGTTTCCCCGCCTCCACCGTTGTGCTCACCAATCAGAAGTGAGCCTATCTGAGGGGCGGGGCTGTCAGGGTCCTGGAGGGTGTCCAGGGGGCGGGGCCAAAGGGAGTAACTACCTATCATGTGGAAGGGGCGGGGTCCTCGGAGTTAGAGCAAAGGGAGCAGTCAGAGGCGGGATCGGAAAGGGGCGTGGCCTGCTCTAAAGGGGCGGGGCCACAGCGGGGGCGGGGCTCTCACTTCTGAGGAAACTGGATGAGCAGCATGATGGCCAGGCCCGTCAGCAGGTCAAAGAGCAGGAGTTTGTACATCTCCTGCCCGAGCCGAGTCTCCCAGCACTAAGGGCGGAAGAAAGGGGTGAGGATGCCCTCAGGACCCGGGCACCCAGGGGCCCGAGCATCCGGGTCCCTAAGTCACAAGCGGATGAGAGACTTCCTCCGGGGCCTTCAGTTTTAGGGGGGCACCCGTACCCCAGTCCTCGGGCGACGGCGTTCTAAGTACCCCTGCCCTCGTCCTCCAAAACCTGGGGTCCCAGCCCCTCGTCCTCCTTACCGGAAGTGCTTTGTAATTGTAGCCACAGACTTTGCAGTTTTCGGCCTCGGCATTGCCCCGGCACGTGATCTGATCCCAGAGAGAGAAGAGCAGGACCAGCAGGGAAGCCAGACGGAGAAACACGGTCCTGACCGGGAAGAGGAGAGGGGTCAGCCCGGGCCCAGTGCCGGCCCCTCCTGTGTCGACAGGACTCCCCCGTCTCCCCGTTTCACAGATGAAGAAATGGAGGTTCGCCCTGGCCGGTGTGGCCCAGTGGATAGAGCGTCGGCCTGCGGACTGAAGGGTCCCGGGTTCGATTCTGTTCAAGGGCACATGCCTGGGTTGCAGGCTCCATCCCCAGTATCGAGTGTGCAGGAGGCAGCTGATCGATGTTTCTCTCTCATCGATGTTTCTAACTCTCTATCCCTCTCCCTTCCTCTCTGTAAAAAAATCAATAAAATATTTTTTAAAAATAAATAAAAAAGAAGAGCTTGAAAAGAAAAGAAACGGGGGCTCAGTGACAAGGAGCCGGGGTTGAATGGACGATCTGGCGGCTCCTGGTGTAGCCCTCCAGCCGGGTGATGAGCTTCAACACGGGCGGCAGCACCAGGTTGACCCCGGAGATGAAGATGGACGGCAGGTATTCCACCCCGAGCTGGAGCAGCCGCGTCCGGCTGACAACGGGCAACTTCTGGGAGGGAAAGGGGGCCGCGAGGAGAGGCTGGGGTCCCGGAGGAGCCCCGACGCTGGAGGGGGTTCCCCCGGCCTGTTCCTTCCGCACCCCTTGGTCTGAGCTCCAAACCCAAGCCACCACCCTCCTCCCTAAGATCCCAGGCGACATAGGCCTCAGTCCCCTCCGCCCTTGGAAATGTAGGTTCCAGGACCCCTCCCCCCTCCCTGGG